ACTAACCATGAGGCCACCGCACCTCCCCAACGGGAAGTAGAATAAAACAGTTTAAAGTGTCGGATGTTACCATATGCTAACGAGGCAAAATTATGACCCAATATGGTCTAAGCCCTCGTAAGCGACCACATCCCGTAGGCAACCAGGTCGCTTTTAGGAGGTTACAAAGTGCAATATAATGTTGTTTTGAGCCAACTAGTTTTTTCGTTTTTACTCCAGACTCAATCCAAGTCAAGTTCTGAATGCCAAGCGAATTACCATCAAAGCTGTAAGTTGTCAATATTTAGAGAAATTCCCAGTTATTTACTTCAACTGCTTTCAAGTTCATGTTCTTGCTTTTTCTATAGGCAGATGAAATATTCAGAAAATATGGTGGTCTACCAAGACTTCAAAGGTAGTTATATAATTTTCCTGTATGTTCTATAATACTCAGAAAATATAAGAAAATGAAAAAAAGGTTTAATGAGGGAATTAAGACTCATTTTGTTCGGCGAAAACAAACTAAAAATGCCAAAATATGTCTCAGCCTCACTGCCGGAGTGAATAATCTTGCTACTTTATACTTTTATTATCTAGTGACTCAATGTGTATTAACTGTGTCAAAGAACAATGCAGAAGAATACGTTTCGAATCCAGACTGGCTGAAGATTACAAGTTTGTGTCCGATACTTTGAAGTCTCAAACATCACTCAGGTAGTTAACCTTCCATTTGCCTTGCTGTAGGACAAATTTAAGGAAATTCGCACTCCGTTTTGAAGGCCCCAAATTATATTAATTCTCTCCGAGCACTGAAATTCAAAGTGCCACTAGTACTGCTGTGTTCACCTCTACACTCAAGTCATCTTTCTTGGTATCAGTATACCTTACTTTCTTAGTGTGCTTGTGTGTGCTTCTTTTCGCTTTTTTGTCTTTCTTTGCTTTTGCGCATTTGCGCGTTTTGTTATGCTTAACTACTTCTTATCCTAAATTATGATCATTTTGTGTGGCGATGACAGCATTTTTTGTTCAGTCTTAGGTATCTTTAGGTAGTCCTTTCCTTGAGGTTCCTTTGGCTTCCTTGCCTTATGCATTGAAAGTTTGTGAATATATTTATAAATGGCAAAAAATAAAACAAACAAAATAAAACAAGCAACCCCAGTCCTGCGCTATTCCAATGGTCACATGATTCTGGTTCACATGGTTGTTTTATAAGCTCGTTTTTTCGTTCTTTTTTGCAGTGACAAGTTCTTTTGGGTTGGTCGGCGGTCACTTCTGAGATGGAAAGCTTTAGCAATCCATCATGAAGAGGCGCGCCAGAGTTTGATGGACAGATGTCAAGTTACAGCCAATTACGACGCGGAGGAAGATGATGAAGTTAAGGTCAAAGGAATTGAAGATCATGATGTTAGCATGACGGAAGAAGAGAAGGCACCTCAGCAGATGGACGAGAATCCACAGGAGATTGGTGCTGAGGAGGACGAAGATGACAGCGATTCTAAGTTCAACGAAGACTTGCTTTGCGAGCACGGTAAGTTTACATGAGGAATGTCGGTGTTTCAGGTATTTACAATACCATCCTTTTCACATCATTGCCATAAGACGAAAGCGCTACTACTACAATTGTCCGCTTAACACTCGGATTTCGACATTCTTGCATGATCATCATGATTCTGTGCCATTTCAATGTTGCGTCGCAAAAACGATTCAATGTTGCGCTAAGGTAACAATTCAATGTTGCGTTACTGTGACAGTGTAATACAGGGAGAGTAAACGTAATAACAGAAGATTCACCAATGAACTCTTGCAGCGAAACAGGTTTCTAGAATAGCTTCAACAGGCGTTTTTTCTTGATTACATTGCAGGAGACCTTTCTTCGGACGAGTCTTGCCGGAGGCTTGTACCAGATGTCGTGTGGCAGAGGTTAAAGTACTACTTTTCTTGCGCACCCGAGTTTCAAGCTGTTCACCCAGTGTGCAGGTCGTGCCAGGTACGAATCTTATATGCCATAGTGACACAGATCCATACCAGTAATAGCCGCAAACAGGCATTTAAAAGTGACTGCTAAAGAAGGTGGGATTTTTTTTAAAGATGTTCTTTTTAACTACACAGGCAGAAGACGAGGAAGAACGACAGAAGAATGAGACGTACAAATTGCTCGCATCAGAGCAGAGAGCTGCTGTTAGTCAACTGTATCTCGACAGGAATCGGCCGTCACTTGATAACGACGTGAGTAACATATTTAATTATCTAAAATTCAGTCGCAAAAGCCTTGCTCGTCTAGTTCATCTCGAGGTCATTTTTGGCGTGAAAATAGAGCTGCAACAGTCTAAATGGCGGGAAAATGCTAGCCTTCCAGTGAGCTGTATCCTTCCAAGATGTATACATTTCTTAGTATTTTTTTTTAGTTTCCGTCCAAAAAAATTTGTAGCCTGCAGTAAAATTCTAATTTTCGCTACTTTTCGTCAGGATCCATTCGTTGCCTGTGCCATTTCAAAAAGTTTTCTTGATCAGTGGAGGCAATTCTTAAGGTAAGGTGCATTGAGCTAATGGTGCTGTTAGCACTAAACAGGTTATATTTTTGGGTTTTAAAATGGCAAATTTCTGCCAGCAAGTTCTGAAACCATAGTAGGTTCTTACACGCGGTTTTTACTGTATGCCATAAACGGGAGAAAGGGTAAAAAGCTAGGAACTTTAAAGTCAACCACTGATCCAGAAAAACAGTAATGGGGCTTCTTTTTATTCTTGATTTACAGCATTTACCAACATGCGACCACTTATCGCTCACGCACGCACGCTTCCTCGCACGCAAGCAAGCGTGCGTGTGTGGCAGTATATATAGGTCATCAGACTACGCCAATTATTTTTTTACTCCAGGTCAGGGAGAGGTTGAACCTCTGCGGTCTGTGTCAGACAATCGATAATGACTGTGTATAAGCATACGATTCACGCCTTTGAAGGTTTCTTAATCGGTTCAACAGGTACCCCGCAAGGAATGTCCCACCGGACAGTATCGTCAATGCCCCTCTGCTGTGTCCCCATGAAAAGTTCCTCTTCAATCCGGAGTGTGATGACGACATGGATGGTGCGAATGAAGAGTAAGTTGCTGTCTCTGGAAGCACAATAGTGTAGGCTTAAAAGTAACTACATGCGTTCCTGGTATGCTGAGCTCTCTATATTAGGTTAATAAAAACACTCATTCAATGTACAACAGCCTATTAAAGCAAATGCGATAATTTTTGGAACCAGTCAGGTGCAGAATCTGGACAAATCACACGTGCCTTTGTGTTGTGATAACAACCGAAATCACTTCAACTGGTGTTAGGATGGTCTGTCAGTCGGTCAGTCAGTCAGTCAATCAGTCAGCCAATCACGACTTTGACGGCGCGTCCAGTGTAAAGCGGTTTATGTGAACTCAGAAATCACACTATTTACTCTTGTTGCAGGTTATGTTATGTCTGGCAACACGAGTGGAACACACTTACCCAAACCTACCCTTACGATCACGTGATCACGGTTACCAAAAGTGTAACAGAAGACGACGTGAGAGAACTGGTGACTAGTCCCGGTAAGTCTTTGTGTTGTAGGAGGAACAAGTGAATGTATTCAACATTCATCCAGAGGTAGGCATATTATTAGGCTAGATTAAATCGAGTCTAATTTTTCATAGTTTGAATTTTCATCTTTCACTGAGACACTTGATACCCAACTACTTGGTAGAGTTTTCGATTAATTTTTGATATCTTTTAGTTGGTTTTTCAAACTTTCCCGCCCATCACAGAGCTAGAAACCACACATGCAACTTATCATCACGTGGCCACTTTGCCTTCTTCGTCTCCCTGATCAACTTGATTGTGATTGGCCAAGAAATGAGTAAAGCAGTGGGAACATTTCAACCTTAATTAAAACCGTAAGGATCGTTCACAGTACGTTTTGTATTTCAGACGTGTGCACGGAATGCTGCTATGCGCGGATACAGGAACGAGCACAGCACGTGGAGAATTATCGTTATGGAACAATCTACGTGCGCAAAATAACAAAGGATCACACCGAGAAGGACATACAGCAAGCCTTGAATGATGTAAGCTTTGTCTTTCTGTTTTTCCCTAGTCCTTTTTCAGCTCTTGAAAAGCCTGGGTCAGAACATTACACTTTCCCTTCAATTCAGGACAGTAGTTCAATCAAACCTTGTTGGTACGCTTCGGCGGCATATCAAGCGAGTTTGGTCGAGCCATGGTTCGTATTTGGTGAGACGTAGTTGAGCCAAAATACCCATGGCGAGACCAAACGAGCTTGATATGCCGCCGAAGCGTACCAAAAAGGTACGTTTAGGAGTCCAAAAGTGCTAGCTACAGTAGATTTAGTAACTGCCCCTGTCATTTACGCTTTTTGTCAACAGAGTACCTCGAGCAAAGATGTCTATTCGTTCGATCCAGATTTCCAGGTTGGTGTCCAACAAATTACCATGATCTTGATTACATTACCTGGTAGTTATGTGTCACAATTTTAGAGCTTAGCAACGTTTTGCACTGCTAGAAATAAAGCAGAACACTGTGAGCTTGAAAGTATCATAACCTAGGCCACCGCGCCTTCAAACATGTGCATGTCACGTGCATCTCACCAGTCCACTCTCTATTTGCAGACACCACCGAACAATAAGAAACCAAAGCTGAATCGTGATAGTCGAGCCCGTCGAAGTTCCAGGTACTTGCAGTTTTTGTTTTATTTTTTCCCCTTTGCTACTCTTTATGGGATATTCAGTATTTCTTCGCCCGTTACAGGCACCGTAAACAGCGCGGAGAAGTCTCACTGACTGTTGGATCAACCGAGACTTTACGAGATGTCAAATTACAGGTAACAATCGTGAACTTCTGTTTTGTGGCATCGACATGTTATTTCTCAACTAACAATAGCAAGGCAATGTCAAACAGACAGGTGATGAGAATAAAGAAATTCATCAACTGCTCGTCCGCGGAATTTTGTGACAAAAACGAAACATAACTCAATCAGTGAGGAACATTCTTTATCTTTTTTTTGTTATGTGGTATAATATCTACAACCGCATAACTCCATCATGCTTGGAACATATAATCCAAAGGAAAGAGTCTAAGGATGACCTCCGTCATCAACATCGTGTTGACATACAACGTTTTGAAACTTATTATATGAAAAACTCTATTTCTCACAGAGGATCCATTGTTTGGAATATTTTAGAACCATCCGCTGCCAGCGCTAGGGACT